GAGTCGCACCCTTGAAAAGGAAGCTGGAAGAGCTTGCTAGCTACGTCTATACCGTGATTCAGTTCCACGGGGACAATTGGATCAAGCTTCGGAATCGACATCAGATCAAGGTGGATCTCTCCAAACCGGGGCAGATCACTCAGAAGCTAGGCCCCAGCCACAAACGGCTTTATTCTTCAGAATCGATGTGCCATGCCAGATCAAGACCAATTGGATCAAGCTTCGGAATCGACATCAGATCAAGGTGGATCTCTCCAAACCGGGGCAGATCACTCAGAAGCTAGGCCCCAGCCACAAACGGCTTTATTCTTCAGAATCGATGTGCCATGCCAGATCAAGACCGCCCAATTTGAACACCCAAGTTGATTTTCCACATTGTGGCCATTCCAGTTGGAGTTTCCGGTTGGAGACAGGGATTGGAACTCAGTCTCCCCCACTGACAGTTCTGTAACCTGTAGTGGAAGATACACCTCTCCCTAACTTCGAATCTTGTCAGGTGGGCCAGCCCAAAAACCAGACCCCAGGCCTGTAGTTCAAATTATGTTTTCATTCATTGTTGGGAAGATCATTGTCTCAAGGTTTGCTTTGAATTGCTTCTCTTTAATTGGGACAATCCTTAAAGCTGTTTTTCCTCTCTTTCTCAGCATCCATGGGGACAACTGAACAGAGAAAGAGAAAAGGCCTGTATATAGCACCTTCCTCCGAGCAAGGTTTGGAGTAAAAATACAAGTATTTATATATTTTAAAAGCAAAACGTATCAAACTTCAGCTTAGGAGGACAGAGAATTTTCTCAGCCAAGGATGAGTTAAGGCTCTGTTGAAAAATCACAAGCCGTGCTTTGCTCCTGAGGCTTGCTGCGGCCAATGCGGTCCCACCCGCCAATCTTGACTTTGGCCTGTCTTGAGCCAGGCATGGTTTCTAATGCAAAGAACCCCCCTTTTTTTTCTTTGCAGCTTCCTGCCTGGCATCAGAAAGGGGACGATGTTGTCACAGTTGTTCCTGGAGTTCAGGAAGACCGAAATGCCAGCAATTATGTTGCCTTCAGCCATTTCTGTCTCGGCTAAACGTCTTTTTGTTTTTGCACACGAGGATGGGAAAAAAAGGAACAAATGTCTTCGGAGAGGTTGGATTTAATTTCTTGCATTTTCAATTCGTAGGAGGGCAAGCATAAATTCCAGTGAAGAGGGAAGG